GCGTAGACTCGACAGATGCTGGAAACAACGACCAGGCCGTTGTCATGGCGATGCAGATGTGTACGACCTAAAGGATGTTCCTGGTTATTTATCTGCAGCAGATATTCATTCTTCTTATGTGTTTTTCATCTGTTCTCTATATATGTATATATATATATATATATATATATATATATATATATATATATATGTATATATGTGATATATTAACATCAAACTATTACTGCGTTAGCAGCTTCAGCATGGCGTCCTGCTGACAGTGACGCTCTCTCTCATCATCACGGTTCACTTCTTTGCGCTTGTCTTTTTACTTCCTGTCACTGGTCCCAAAATATGTTTCCACATATAAATAAAGAAGGCGCTGGTTCGGAGGAGGTGTGAGAGTTACGGCTCAGAACAAACGACTAGTGACACCAGAAAGGTCACCTTCTGTTTCAACGGGTTCTTCCTGGTGATGCTCCACAGAGGTCACAGTTCCTCGTAACAACGTTCAGATGCCATGAAAGTCACTGGTGAAGCACGTGACATGAGTGCAGTCCAACCGGGACCAGGAGGAGTCATGAAGGCTCTGGTTCTACCATGGACCAGGACCCGTGTTGGACGAGGACACTGGTGGAGGACACTGAGCCGACCTCGCCTCGTCCTCCACTCAGACATCTCAGTCCTCTCCACCCGGGGCTTTTAGACAGAGCTTTATTTAAACACGGCCTGGAGACGACAACGAGCGCCACCGGCCCCACAGCTGAGACCTCAGCCCCCCCCCCCCCCCCCCCGTCCCCCCGACACCTCCCCCAGCCCCTCCATCTCTCCCCCTGTCCCTCCATCCGTCCCTCACTCCACTGAGCCATGCAGACCGCCAGGAGAAACACACGGCTTGTTTAGCGGGTGATTGTCAACCAGAGCCCTTCACCTCCCGGCCCCCCGGCCCCCCGGCCCCCCGGCCCCCGGCCCCCAGCTCCCAGGGTTGGAGGTAAACCCTGTTCCCTGTGGAGAGGACTGTAGGCCGTATTCAGGTGGAGGTCGTCATGGTGACGTCACTTTGAAGGCTCGAGTTCAGAGACAGACGCCCGCTCATATGGACCATATACGTCAGACACCTGTCAATCACACTAAGCCCCGCCCTAGAACAAGGTGTGTCATTCTTAGTAAAGCGTTGAACCTGACGGTTTGTTGGTAAGACAAACAAACTCAACCTGCGTACAGGTGTGTGATGTCACCTCACCGATGAAACAACAGCGTGAAACAAACAAACGACACAACGTGTGCGTGTGGCAGCTGTGGACCGCGGCTTCTAATTAATGTGACGCGCACACACACACACACACACACACACACACACACGTTTCATTGGTCGGGAGGTTCAACCTCCGGGCGGACTGCGAGCAGCCGGCACGCCAACGCGGTTATTTAGCAGCAGCAGAAGAAGAAACGACTGCTGGTGGTTCAGCAGCTTTCTGTCCGTTCAGTGGACCGGGGGACGTTTGACACGTCCTTGTGACCCCGCTGTGACCTCAGAGCGCCTTCACGCCACGCGTGAACTCTTAAGCTCTTCTAACTGACCAGAGATCAGCTGCAAAAAAACATCTCCAGTATAATTATAAACGTTTTAGTCCGATTATTAATGTTGATCTGGAAATATTGATGACAATTATGAAGACGTAACCGGTTGAACCACGTTGGGTTAAATATAGTTACATGATGATGATGATGATGATGATGATGATGTGATATCATGAAGGCAACAGTGTAAATGCAAACGAATCCACGGGAGAAATGTTCAGAGGAGGAAAAAGTCCCATCACAACCCCATCTTAGTAGTTTATGCTTCTGCGTTTTCAGAGACACGCTGCATGTCCCTTGCGTGTCTCTTGCGTGTCCCTTGCGTGTCCCATGCGTGTCTTTTCACGCCTCCTCGCGTGCGTCGACCCATTTTTGTAGACTAGCGTGTAAAGCGACGCAGCCTCCTGCAGCACCAGGCTGTGATTGGTCTGCTGACTACGTCCTTTACGGAGTCTCACGTCTCCGTTTTCACAGCACAATACGGCCGTTATTAAAAGGAAGAACGTTTACGAGAGAACGAATCAGATTGAAGAGCTTTTAAATATGAGCGCTTGTACAAGCCGTCATTGGCGGACTATGAGGACGCCGGATGGCCTCTGATTCATGGAGGGAGATCTCCACAAACGAGGGGAACAAAGTCGTGGAGGAAAATACGGGACAAATGTGTCCTTGATGAAAAGCAGCAGTGTGGATACACGGGGCAATAAAGTCTATGATCAATAAATAAAGCAACCAACGACTTCCACACACAAAGACGTGACTCTCCAGGTCGTCTTCAAACACGTGACTCCACCTGTTGTTCTGGAGGTGAATCGCTCTGCAACACACGCAGGACTTTACAACCAGGAAGTGAAACCAGAGCGTCGACGCGACGCAGAGACACGCGGCGACCTTTAACCTGGAGTTAGCTTTTAGCTTAGCTTAGCTAAAATGTTCATCCGTGAGACTTGTTCCTTGCGTCTCTCCTCTGGAAGCGTTTTACAGATTTAAAGCTGCACGTTGTAGATGCATGAAGAAGCTCTGGTTTGAGGCTTCTGAGCCGCCGTACACAATAAGAACCATAGAAGTCAATTGTGTGGACGGTGTCTCTCCTGGACCACAAACAACAGCTGCTTGATAAGCAGAAACATAAAAAGAGCCAAAGGAGACCAGCGCAGAGAGAAGGCCGTGAAATGTATGCAAATGAGAATCATCTGCAGACGGAATGTGGAGCATTTGGTAAATATGAGGACAAACAGTGAGACGCGGAGACAAAGACTCGTCTCCGTCTGTCCATCTGTGTCACGCCGATGACCACAGTGACCGTGACGGCGGTGACACGGGCGGCTGGCTTGGCATTCTGTGCGTGTGTGTGTCTACGAAACAAAGATGACAGCTGTCAATCAAAGCTCAACACGCCGCTCCCCAACAATGAGACTCAGAGGACCAAACGTGTCTATCGTGACCCTCTGCATGGACTTCATCCTCCTAAGTACACTCGGTCGTAGTCTTCTTGCCTTCTCTCACGAGGCGTTCGCTGGCCGCTCCCCCCTGATGACATCACAGGCCGCGGTAAGTTTACGACCCATCAGGCCGTCGCAGCAGACGTGAACATCTGGTCTGAAGAAACATGCTCTTCTGCTGCGTTGGAGCTCAATGAATCCTGGTGATGATCCGGATTGTTCACACGCATGCTGGAGATGCTTCGTATCCACGGTAGCAGCAGATGTTGTGGAGGCAGCTGATGTTTCAGTCCATCCATGAGATCTGTGTGATGCCCGGAGGGGGGGGGGGGGGGGGGGGGGTACAGACGCTATATATATCCTCTGCTCCCATAGACGTCTATGAGGAAATGACTCTACTTCTCTGTAGTGACCAGCAGGGGGCGACTCCTCTGCTCCCATAGACGTCTATGAGGAAATGACTCTACTTCTCTGTAGTGACCAGCAGGGGGCGACTCCTCTGCTCCCATAGACGTCTATGAGGAAATGACTCTACTTCTCTGTAGTGACCAGCAGGGGGCGACTCCTCTGCTCCCATAGACGTCCATGAGGAAATGACTCTACTTCTCTGTAGTGACCAGCAGGGGGCGACTCCTCTGCTCCCATAGACGTCTATGAGGAAATGACTCTACTTCTCTCTTGATTTATTCCCTCAGTAAACATTGTAAACGAGTTTATGTCTCAGTCTCTAGTTTCAAGTCTTCTTCAACACAACATGATGTTCATTTAGTGAATGATGGTTTATTTAGAGTCACACAGACCATAGAGCAGGGGACGCTTTAGGGCGAGGCTACGCGCTGATTGACAGGTTTAGGGTTAGGGTCAGCATGTCATCACTTCCTGTTCACTGGTTGAAAAAACAACTTGAGGTAGAACAACCTGGTTGTCACCATGACAACGCCCACTTCTTATCTTCAGTCCGTGAAGTCTCCTCGCTACTTCCCACGACTCCTCGGCTTGCTGCCCCTCAAATAGTGGCGACTACGGTGGGCCTCGGGACCTCGTCGCCATGGAGACCAGCTCTTGGTAAAAGTGAGTCGGGTTGGAGCTGCCGGTGCAGAAGAGTCGGATGCGGCAGCTCTCAGACACAGGTTTGTTTTTCTGCAGCTAATGGCGTGATGAGGAGCTGCAGCCTTGCTGCTCTGGAGCTCCGGCTGCTTTACATTTCACAGAGTCGGGAGGAGGGGGCATCGTAAGAGGTTCTCTTCTTTCATCGTTAACAGTAAGCTTTTATTCCTGCGTTTATGCACATTTCAAATCTGCGCATGAAAAGGAAAACCGGCCTGCTAATCGTTGAAGTATTACTAGTATGTTACATATCAATATATCATGACACAAATAAACACATTTGTAGCCGGCAATCACCATGACTACAACCAGAAACTACTCTACCCGCACCGTAACTCAGCGGTTCTCAAACTGTGGGGAGCGACCCTCTGGTGGGGCGCGGAGGTATTACAGGTGGGGCACAAGGGGGGTGGGGGAAATGTAGATATTTTTTTAATTTTGCTTTAAAAAAAATTCTCCACTGGTCTTTAACCTTCCTAAGTTCTCCCTCACTCCTCCACTCCTCCGCTCTCTTCACTGGTACCGGTGGATCATCCAGTTCTAACACTGGTGCTCACGTACCGTGCTGTGAATGGATGGGGTCCAGCTTACATCCAGGACCTGGTCCAACCAGACATCCCGACCCGCACTCTCCGCTCTGCATGTGATAAACTGCTTGTTCCTCCTCACTGAGAGCAAAACACTCCACTAGATCTCCACTCTTTGCTGTCCTGCTCCTAAATGGTGGGAGGAGGTCTCTGAAGACACCAGGACCACAGAGAGCCTTCACATCTTCAGACTAAAGACACACCTCTTCAGACTCTACCTCCACTAACACACTAACTAACTGTAGCACTTACATTGGACTTATAATGGTTCTTATCTATAGCAAGTTGTACATCGGCTTATGTGATGAAATTGTACTTGTTTCGCACCGCACAACCCAAACAACGGTTCTCTCAATTACATTACAGATGGAAGACAAAGGAGTACCTGAGCAGGTAGAGATCAGAGTACCTGAGCAGGTAGAGATCAGAGTACCTGAGCAGGTAGTACACAGAGCAGAGGAAGTGTGGGGACTCACAGGCGTAGGTCATGGAGAAGCTGCTCCCCGTGTCCACCATGTCCACCTGGGGAACCAGCTTGGGGACGTCCTGCTGCTGGGTCAGGGCGAAGCGGAACACCTCGTACTCGTGGGAGCCGGAGGGGAAGAGGCCTCCTGGGAGAGAAGGGGGGTCATAGAGCGTCAGACAGGAAGTCCACAAACACACCATAACCCGCCCTATTCTGATGACCGCCGTCAGTCTGAAGCTCCGCCTCTTTGAATCAGACGTCCTCTCGTGACCCTCAAGCTCACCTCCGTCACTGACAATGAGAGCCTTGCTGGTTTGTTCGGGTTGGACCTGAGCTGCTTCCTGTTTGAGGCTACTCGACTTCATCCAGATGTTAAGAGGAGAACAAAACACTTCTTGTTTATTCCGAATGCAGAAGGATTGACTTTCTCTCCAGAGGAGGAATTAATGAGTCGATGCAGAAAACGAATCGCACAACAAATAAATAATATTACAGTGAATGATAAATGATTCTCTGGTTTAGGGTTGTCTGTTGAGTTTACTGCTTAGTTTAACTTTATTGCTGTTTTTATATTCAGTATTTTACTGTTAGAACTGCAATACGGCAACGAGTCCAACGATGAAAATAACTAAATGGGCGTAAATTCAGCGAGGAAGGCGGGGGCAGGTGATTCCTCCTATAGGGCGTCGCGGTCCACGTGGACGGAGGCAGTTTCAGTACAGTGAAACAATCGCGTCAGTCGATGTTAGAAGCAGTTCACATCTCTGTTGGTGTCAGTTGTCCTTTCAGGAGGAACCAGACGCAGCCCGCCGCCCCCCCGGACCCCTGAGATCAGCAAAAACTCATTATATAGAAATCTCTGGATTTCTCCCTATTTTCTCCCCAAAAGAGGGTTTTTCGGGGAGCAAAACGTTGTGATTTTGGACCCTATAGAACAGAGATGTAGTACAATAAAAGCACAACATGTACCTCTGAGATGTACTACAGTAAAGAGTACAACGTCAAAGTTCAGACAGACTACTGCTAACCGTTAGCGACCGGAAGTGAGCTGTTAGCTATAATCACCTGTGCTAAAAGCTAATGTAGCGTTGTAGACATCTAACCAGAACTTAATATTAAATAAAATAAAAAATGAATCTGTACGCAAAGTAAAGTAATATTTCCCTCTGAGAAGTATCAGTCAAATACTAGTGCCTGGAGAAGTACAAGTACCTTCTGACGTTCCGTCACCCCGAGTCATAAGAACACTCTTTGGCCTCACGAGGTCGGATATGATGTAATTTATGGGACGCCTCATCAGCACCCACGGGGGGAGGGGGGACGGGGGCCGGGGGCCGAGGGGACGGGGGGACGGGGATGGGGGCTACGTTGGATTAACCCGGTAACCTCCAGCTTCCTGATACAGAATTGATATTTTACTCTCTGCTGTGGATCTTTTTCAAATACAACACAATAAGACACATAAAATAAGAATAAAACGTCGACACGTGCTGATGGAATAAAGTTCAAACAGCTGCATCACGAAGCCTGAACATCGATCAATCGATCGATTGTCTTCGTGGCAGAAGTCCTTCTAAAGTACGTCAAGCATTTCATTTACTCGGTTTTAAACACAAATCTCAGACAGTTTGTTAATTAGTTCGTCATCCATGAGAGTTCATTAATATTCTGGATTCTTATTCAGAGAAAAGCGGCAGATTAAAAACATAAACTCTGAGAAATGTTCACTGACCACAGAATCAATAACTGCATGCAACATACATATTTAATGCCTTTGGCTGGCAACATTAATTATTACAACTATAAATGTCTACACGCACACACACACACACATATATGTATATGTGTGTGATTTCTATAGAATGTGATGTGTCCTTTTCCACACCTCTGTCCTTTGTAAAAACGACACAGACACAAAATCCTGTCCAAACATGAATGTATGAATACTAAGATACTGTAAGTATTATTACATCTGACATCATGACAGCGCCTCAGAATCATCACAGGAAGAATCACTTCTATATATAATATATAATAACGACGTATGACGTATAAGAGTGACACATAATGTCATAGACCCCCCCCCCCCCACTCACCGATGTTGATGTTACTTGGGAAACTTGTGCCGCTGCAGAGCCCGACGAGCAGCAGCAGCAGCGGGGGGAGCCGCATGCTTCCTCCGCCGGCGGCTCCGACGGGCGACGCCGAGCTGCGGGGGGGCCGCCGCAGCCCCGGAACGGACCCGCTCATCCGTCGCTTCTCCTGCGTCTGTGTGCGCCCCCCTCCGATCCAACATCCGCGCGGACTCAGCGAGTGTCCCCGCGTCTCTCCGCCGGTTCTCTACCCGGCTGCCCCCCCCCCCCCCTCCTCTCCCCCCTCCTCCTCCCTTCTGCCCCCCCAGCCTCTCTTCTGCCCCCTCCCCTCCTCTCTTCTGCCCCCCCCCCCCCCCCCCCCCCCCCTCTCTGTACAGCGGTGATGTGGAGAAACAACATTTACTCATTTGCTAATGTTGCCAGATGTTTGTGTGTAACGCAACATCAGGACACCTCTGTCCTCCCATGTGACTCATCTCCTGTAATCTCATTGGAGGCTGATCGTCTTTATGATCGTTACAATAAAACATTTAGTCTGTTAGAATCATATTAAGACTCTGATATTTACACCGTGTGTGTTGAACCATTTAAGTTATTGATCCAACATGTTTTTACCAACCGACACGATTCACATCTCAGAAATCAAGTGAACTCATTGTTCGTTGGACTTGAAGCCACTTGAGTGGCAGAATCAGCTGATTGATCATCTATTGATTGGTATAGATATTGGTCTATAACCTTCAACATGGCCGACCGCCTGTTGGGTTTAAGAATCTTTTTTAACAAGAGGTTGTTTCAAAAGAAAGTTGGTTTTTTGAGGTTCTTCAATGAACCAGAACGAAGCCGCAAAGCAAGCATATGAAGGTAATTAAGGCGCATTGTGGTCTTCCAGAGAGCCCGGAAGGTACTCCTGGGTGTGCGACAGGAACCCGGCGGTGGATGAAAGAGGGAGGATGTGATGTGAGAAGAGGAGCTCCTGAAAGACAAAGAACGGAGGGTGAGGAGCATAAAGTGACATTTAAATGAACAAACATCTAAAACTGAAGCAGATTAAACATCAGGAGTGAATCAAAAACACACAGAAGACATCGTGTAAATACACAGGTGAGACTCAGGTGAGCTGATCGGGGGAGAAACAGGTGATCACAGCAATTTAGGAAAACGCAGAACACAAATTAAAGCAAAGCCGAGATCACGACATCATCGGCGTCTGGACGTTGTCTCCGTGTTCAATCAGCTGGAGCAGCACAAACGGGCCGGGACATCTGATGGGACAGCTGATTGCTCCGGGGTGAGGACATCAGGGGACGCTTTGAGAAGAAAGGGCCCTGAAGTTCAGAGATCTGATCTCACAGCTTGTTTGGTTCCACTTTGTGAGGCCTCGCTTCCACCGATAGTTCCACACATTCAATTAGCATGAAGGAACGATGCGTTTAATGTGCGATGGAGAGACGAATAAACGACGACCCGGGACCCCGAGTCCTGTTGCCTTCACAAGTTGCAAGAAAAATGTAAAATGGGGCGTCGTGGGTTGGTGGTTTGAGCCCCAGCTGCCCCATGTCAGTGTCCCTGAGCAAGGCACCCAACCTCTAACTGCACCCCTGGTAAAAATCAGCTAAATGACCTGTTTAGTTTTAATTCATTAAAAATAAAGAAGAATGAGACTAAAAAAACCTTTCGAAAATAACATTGATGCTAAATTTGGACCTGGAGAGTTACTAAACGAGTCAATAAATAACTAGAATGAAGTACAATTACTTCAAAGTTGTACAGCAACAAACTTTCATTCCGGAGCTTTAAACAAGAACGAACACGCGGCTTGTTGGGTTCTGCAGTTCATCACAAAAGTCCACATCCACATTTCTTCCAGTTGCCCTCATTGTCCCTCTGGAGATCCACCGGACCACCTGGTCTCTGCTGCTCAGACCCTCAGGTCAGGTTCCTCCTGAAGACCAGAGTCACAGAGCTTCACAGGTGGACCTTTATAGATGAAGAGACGCTGCTCCATGTCCAAGTGTCCCCGAGCAAGACACCCAACCGCTAACTGCTCCCACTGCTCCCACTGTTCCCACTGCTGCTCCCGCTGCTCCCACTGCTCCCCCTGCAGAGAATGATTTCATGTCTCAGTACTTGTCCTCAAAAGGTGGAATCTGGTCCTCCGGTCGGTTGTGACGGCGTCTTTCTGTTCGCCGTCACAACCGATCGTTCTCCAACGCAAACAAAAGCTCTTAAGAACAGAAGCAATTTGTGCCCAAAATCACACGTCACGTTGACTCTGAACAGGAAGCGAGCGTTTGATTTGAGTTAGAGGCCGGAGGGAGGAGACCTTCTTTACCTTCACCTTTCTTCTCTTCTCCATCAGGCTTCAGGTTCAACCCGATCTGAGGAGAATAAACCGTCTCTACACGAAGCATCTTTATTCATATTCATTAAAACTAAACATTGTCCTATGAAGAAGGAAGCCTGTGTTTATGTGGAAGGAGAAGTTTGATGTGTGTTGCTGGGACTTTCGAGGAGACAAAGGATCAGTATGAATCCATTCCACAGAAACCTGATGACGACCTTTGACTCTTCGTCTTTTCACCTCTTCAAAACTAAAGGATCAACGATCACACTAAACTAAACTAAATCTGCAGAATTCCATCTTCCTTCACGTAGCTGCTTATGCTAATCGCTGGATGCTAACGTTAGCTCAATTGTCTACAGAAGCTGGTTTAATCAGCAGAAAGAAAAACAAAGATGAAGTTGTGAGTTTCCTGAATGTTACAAGAAGGTCTCGTTGATCAGCCAGGGATTTAAAAGCTTTAATCAGCTGCGTGTAACAGAACGAGCCGGACAAACAGCCTCATTTTAAAGGTAAATCAGGTGAAATAGTGGCAGTTAATGTTGCTGTCAGTCTCTGTTGTAGTTGGAGCTGCTGCTTTACACCTTAGAGAAGGTTCTTAAGTTTAGAACCAGCTTTTCCTTCTGGTGCTGAAGAGAAACACTGAGCGTGTTCTTTAAAGACACGTCCAGCAGCGGGTACAAAGCACGTATATTATTATAAATAATAGAGAACACGGAATATAAATTGAGTAAAATGAAAATGCTGACAGTCATATGACAGCTTCCTTCTGAGCTCAGGCTGGCTGCTGATTGGTTAAAGAGCAGTGGGGGGTCGGGGGGGTCGTCAGCACAAAGAAGAAAAAGGTCTTGGTTTGGTGCTGTGGAGAGAAATGTAGGTCAGCACTGATTTCCTCCTCCTCTTTGTGTCTTCAGAAGCCTTTGTTCAGAATGTGTTTCTGTGAGCTGACTTTACATTTGTTATGTGGAGGTAACGTGTTGGCTAATAGCCAGGGTGAAATTAAATCATTGACATCAATAGATTATTAATAATTCACGCAATAAATAAATAACGGCCCTAAAAAGGGACTAATGACCAAACTATAAACTTCTCACTTCTCATAGTTGATATTCACTCATGAAGAGCGAGGAATTGAAGGTTTGAGTTTGTACACTGACGATGTTTCCAACCACAGTTCACATATGCACAAAGAAATCACAGAAAACTCCTTAGAGTATTACAGAGTTTATTAACTTCCATCAGTACTTTACATTACATCACATTACAGGTCGTTTAGCTGACGCTTTTATGCAAAGCGACTTACATCACACTTTTAAACGCTTAGTAAAATTACCATCTGCTCCACACAGACAGGTTCGTCTTTTCTCCACCTTCAATTACCCTCAACACCTCCAAACGACTTTTAATACCTTTTAAACGACCTGTGAGACAGTCTTCAATTACCTGTCAATTACCTCCCGACACCTTTAAACACCTTTAAATACCTTTAAACACCTGTAAACATCTTCAATTACCTTCAATTACCTCCAAACACCTTTAAATACCTTCAAATACCTCCAAACACCTTTAAACACCTTTAAACACCTTTAAACGCCTTCAATTACCTTCAATTACCTCCAAACACCTCCAAACACCTTTAAATACCTTTAACACCTTTAAACATCTTCAATTACCTTCAATTACCTCCAAACACCTTTAAATACCTTCGAATACCTTTAAATACCTTTAAATACCTCCAAACACCTCCAAACACCTTTAAATACCTTTAAACACCTTTAAACACCTTCAAACACCTTCAATTACCTCCAAACACCTCCAAATACCTTCAAGCACCTTTAAACACCTTTAAACACCTTTAAACATCTTCAATTACCTTCAATTACCTCCAAACACCTTCAAATACCTTGAAATACCTTTAAATACCTCCAAACACCTTTAAATACCTTTAAATACCTTCAAATACCTTTAAATACCTTTAAATACCTCCAAACACCTCCACATACCTTTACATACCTTTAAATACCTTTAAATACCTCCAAACACCTCCAAACACCTTTAAATACCTTTAAACACCTTTAAACATCTTCAATTACCTTCAATTACCTCCAAACACCTTTAAATACCTTCAAATACCTTTAAATACCTTTAAATACCTCCAAACACCTCCAAACACCTTTAAATACCTTTAAACACCTTTAAAAACCTTCAAACACCTTCAATTACCTCCAAACACCTCCAAATACCTTCAAGCACCTTTAAACACCTTTAAACACCTTTAATCATCTTCAGTTACCTTCAATTACCTCCAATTACCTCCAAACACCTTCAAATACCTTTAAATACCTTTAAATACCTTCGAACACCTTCAAACACCTTCAATTACCTTCAAACACCTTAAATTACCTTCAAATACCTTCAACCACTGTGATGAACAACCTGTGAAATGTTGTCATCGTATTTTAATCACAATGTGTTTTCAGGCTTCTTTTATGCACCAAATATATGGTGATCTTTAAATTATATTCATGTACTTTTACTTCAGTCTTGTTCTGACAGACTATCACTATTTCCAAAGTGTGTATTCGTACTTTTACTGCAGTAAAGTGTGTGATTACCACAGTACTACACACGTCTATTATCCCGTCTCTCTCGTCGGTCCGTTAGCAGCCAATCAGCTTTCTAATCGCTTCCCTAATTGCTTTTTTATGACAGTTGTCATGGCAACCGCCCACTGTTTGAAGCCATTGATGGTTTCTAGGCTCCTTCAAGGCGTCATGAGTGTGTGTGTGTGTGTGTGTGTGTCTGTGTGTGTGCGTGTGTGTGCGTGTCTGTGTGTGTGTATGCATGTGTGTGTCTGTGTGTGTGTGTGTGTGTGTGATTCAAGGTGGAAGTACGGAGCTG